GGAAAAAAGGGAAAGTGGGAACTAGTGCAGGCAGTGCATTGGAAGGAGCTTCATGATCCCACATAAACTGGGAGAAACATTTTGATGTGTTTGCATTTGCTCCAGTCGTGTTTCATGGTCTGGGTGAACTGTTTGTCCTGAGTTTCCAAGTGACCTCTGGTATAGGGGAGCCAACCTGACATCAGAGCCTTGCCCCAAAGCTATATTTTCTGTGGCCAGGAGAAGATTCAACAAAGTTTGTATTTCTTCCTTCCTTCCAAAAATGCTGACTGTTTTGTAGCAGGAGAGCCAAGTGGTTCTGAAATCTACAAGAAAGTCCCTGGTCATTTGTACCATGCATAGTCTCAGTGTGAGTAGGAGGGGTGCAAGGGAAAGGTATCCACCACTTGCTCTAACTGTAGTCTAAACCAAATGCCCAGCCAGCATTACTGCCATACTGGGAGAGCCAACAGAAATACAATTCCATCTCCTGGCTTAATTTCAAATTGGGTGAAGCAGATGAGACACTGCAGAATTGCCTTACAACACCAACAATCTTCCTCCTATGCTACAAAAGCCAGCTGAATATTAGATAATAATAATAATAATAATAAATAAACCCAAAGAGATTCTTATTTTCATTTATTGATATTGATAATGCAGCTCATTGCATAAGAGACATCATAGCCTAAACTGGCTAAATTCAAATTCAAACATATTGAGGCAACAGGTTATATCCCTGCTTTAAGAAATCCAAACCAAACAAGCAGTAGCTAAACCAGTTTTTCTCAACCTCAGTGACTTTAAGATACTAGACTTCAATTCCCAGAATGCCACAGGCAGCAAGTCCACAAATCTTAAATATTGCTGAGATGGAGAAATGGTGGGCTAAACCATAAAAGCCATCCACAAAATCAACTTGCTTCACATGAACAACCCAGGAAGCAAGTCATTTCATCAGTTCTCCTGAATTTCCCAAACATTTCCCAACCAAAGGGCATGTGCTCTTCCCCAACGAGTCAATTGCCTAGCATGTGTGCACAGTGTGGCCAATGTTTGTTGTTGTTGCCCTTGTCATCATACCATCAAACAGTCTAGCAGGGCGGGAGGAGGAAAAAGGGAGCAAACTTTACCCTATTGAGCAAAGGAAAACTGCCAGAGACAGGGAGACTTCACTCACCCCACCCCTTCCAGATGCCTGATCAAGTTTCAATGCCCCTTGCTTTTCTATATAAAGAAAGCCCTGGAGTCAGGCATGTGAAGTTAAGAGTGCGTTTGTGAATGGTTCTTCAAAATCGCTGTGTTCCTGCTACCCAGCTTTATTGTTCTCCTAGGACATACATAGGTTTGGTGGGATCTGGTTGTCTGAGAAAAGTGAAAAGGTGTTCCAGGACACTGCAGTGCGAGATCATAAAGGTAATCAGAGCTCTGCTTATGTTTTCCTCCCGTTCCTGTTTGTTCTTCTTGGGATGCTAGGAATGCAAATCCGCACTTTCAATTAGGTCAAATTCTTTCCTGAAGTTTTTTTTTGAGGTGACTTCAGCAAGCGATTTTATATGATCTTTTTTTGTTTAAAAGCAGTGGGAATGCTAGAAAGTTCTTCTGCAGAGATTTCAGAGACTGAACGTGAGTTGCGTGTTGGGACTAGTTAATCTGAAACAGGGCTCCTTAGAAAAGAAAGCTATAAAAGCAGGTTGGCCTTTAGCTTCTTAAGGCTTTTGAGGAATTTTAGGCACATATCCTGAATATATGAGTGGGAATTTTAAGCACATATCCTGAATATATGAGTGGGAATAAGACCTAAATTCTACACAGAATGGTCTCTCGGTGAAGAAGTCACTGCTTGTTGAAAGAGGTAATCTGTTAGCAGCACACGAAACATACTTTGTATTCTGGAAGTATAGTCTCAGTCTGCATTTCTGAGCATCTTCAGATCCTGGAAAAAGAGATGAAAGCTAGTGGACTCTTTCATTCAGAACAGTCAGAAGAACTATTTGAGACAGACAAATACTCTAAACCAGTGTTTCTCAGCAGCTTTAAGATGCATGGACTTTAACTCCCAAAATTTCCCAGCCAGGTTGAGGAACATTGCTATAAATTGTCCCAAAGGTTCTTTTTTTCCCCTTTAAGATGCAACTGGACTTTCATGTAAATTATTCCATTGTCCTGCATCCAGTCAGAGCTGAAGAAGCTTCTTGGATGAGAAGCAAAATATCTTCAAAGAAAAACATGAAAGTCCAGTTGCCTCTTGAAGAAAAAAAAGGACCTTTAGAACAACCATGACCTAGATGGCTGAGAATCTCCATAGACACTGCAGATTCATCATGTCTTTTGTGAGACTCCAAAGAATTCTTCCAATTGCAAGTATGTTTATTTGCTGCCAAGACAAATTGAGGAGGACAGCTAGCAGGGTCAGTGGTAAGGGGTTGTGGGAATTGTAATCAAAAATAGCAGGAGGGGATCCAGTTGCTGTCCCTATCTTACATTTTATAGAAGTAGAAAAAAAAAGAATAGATGGGTTTAATTTTATGTAACAAGAATAAATCTCACGGCTTTGGGCATGAAAAAGCCAAGTTATAAATCAAATAAATAAATTCACATATATGGTATGTTAAATATATTCCCTCTACCTATTAGATACAGTTAGTATTGTTATGCAAATAGGTAATATAATTTCCTATCCATAGACTGTAGAAAAGTAATATGGACTTTTCCCATTTTTGTTCAATCTGCAGGGTGCCCTGGCAGTTTGTTACTCTGCAACAACATAACAATGACAACTGTGCCTTCAGCTGGCTGCCTTTTAGCCAAGAACCAGTATTACAGAAGTGAGTATTGTGCCCTGAAATCATGGGTGTTTTTTTGTGTTCTTGGTACTTGCATGATCTTAGAACTGATTTCCTTTTGTATAAAAGATATAGTGTTTATATTGGAACAGACTTTGATACTTAACTTTAGCTAGCCTAGCAATAACCAGAAGTTTCTTCAGTCTCTTCCTTGATTCAACCTGTGAATAATTTAATTTTCTACTTATTGAAATCCATCTCATGTCTTTGATGTATAATCTTTGGATGTGATCCAGTCTTATCACATACTATGATAAATTTGTGCACTTGAATCTAATGAAAGTCAGTGACTCAGAGCATTATTAATTGATAAGATACTAATGAATAAAAATAAACCAGCATCTCCCTGTTGGCCACGAAGGCCAATATGCAAACATCAGAATGGAATATTAGTTATAGTGCTCACTCCTAGTGAGTGTGTTATTGACAAACAGTCTGTCAATCCTGTAGTTAGGTCACCTGACCTTTATTTCTTGAGTTATGCAAAACGAAACACAACAGCTAATAGGTTTGCATTCTATTTATTTAAGAAATGTGAAAGAACTATTGTCCTTTCATTCTTAATTGACAATTATATGATCTAGCCTTCTATACATAAAATGGCTATCCTCTTTTCAGAAGGGATCATAATCTGATTGGTAAAATGCCATAGTATACATGTTATCTGATCATCTGTATTATTAAAAGTACTTCAGGTTTTGTACAGGAATATATAAATTTTTGGGCTTCAAGAAAAACTTGGGTCCTAAACACTAGTTTACTTTTTAATAATAAATACAAAATGCTTTTCACTTTCTGAAATAGAATGTAATATTTCTATTTTTACATATAGCACGATTGAATTCTGAATCCAGTGTTTCTTCAAGCAGTTCATCTTGCTCTTCTGATCCCATGCCATTCTCAGACCAGGAAAAAAATCATCATGGTATTGTACCTTTATTAAAGTTTCTAGCTGTTGTCCAGAAAAATCATGAAATATATTCCACTGTCTTCTATTGTATACTTAATCGCTATATGTTTTTAGTGAAATTAAAGCTTGATCTTTCTCCAATATTGCTGCTTCATTAAAAGTAATAGTTTTCTTTTTGCTTTGAAGCTTTATTATACAATGGATATTTTGCATCTTCCATTTATAGGCCTACCTGAAATATTTGAAAAGTGCTGGTGGATAAAAAGCTTTTTTCATAGTGAGCCAACACCTCCAAATGTAGGCAGAAAAACCTTATCAGCCAGCAGGTAAGAACTGTTTCCTGGAGTACACAATTTATTTGAATTAATTTAAAATTTAGTCGCAAGCTAATGCACTACTTGAGGTTCATTCTGATGCTAATTATAACTGTAGTTTACATAGAAATGCTCAGCCCAGAATAGAGCTTAAAATAGAGCTTAAATCTGCTTATTCTGGACAAAGGTAGACTTTGTGATTATTCCTTTTGCCATGTGTCCTAAACAGCTGCATTAGTTTCTCCTGAAAGCTTGGCAGTAATTCTTTATACTAATCATGATCTTAAATCATAATTTGTCTTGACAGTACTAACAGCTGATTGGGATATCAAGTTGAAAGTTCCTGCTGGGACATTATAGACAGTCATGTCTTGAAATGAATTCCCTTCTGTGAAGAAAATGAACTACTTGAGGATTCAGTTGTAGAAGAAATACAGATTATCAAGGATTTAATCAGAGCTTATTCAACAAGCAACCACCTTTACAGTGTCTGCTGCAAGAATTCTTGATAATGAACAGGTGTCCTATATTTCATAATTTTTGTGTTTCACAAGAGAAAATGCAAATGCAAAGTGTAGTGGAATATGGTATATCTGATGATTTGGGATATCTTTTACTAAACTGAAATGCTGTAGATTTTTTGGGTCAAAATCTTTTAAGGTTACCATGCATTTTATACAATGGTGCCTTTTTACTTAGCAAAATAGACCACCTCTTTCCACAGAATTTAAGTTTGGAATGTTAACTATAATAATCTTCTACTTCATGAATAATTTACTTAAATGCCAAATACAAATTTCTCTTACTTGTCAACAGCTAGAAGAAAGCTGGTTAAGGCATTATTTATGATCCCCATTAAAAAACAAAAATGGAACATACATAGTATTAAACTCCTTATCTGATTCTAATTCTACTATTTGCATTGGAGCTTTATTTCATAGGTATGTTACTATTGTATATTACTGCTTTGACATCAAATAGTGTACAATTTATATCAACTCTTCAAATTAGAGATAATTTAAGAACTCTGGATTAATTTTTTTTGATTTTTGATGTATACTATTCTGTTTCAAAACATAGGAAAAAAATAGACCCATGTTCTGCTTTGTAGGAGTTGTAAGTTTTATTTACTTATAAGGAATATATATTTGTATCACATGAGAAAATCTGTGAGTACTGCATATTCTAAATTGAATTATATACTGATGATGCTTCTAATGTTCCTTTGTTATCCTTTTATTCTTCTGATTAATTATACACAATGTTCTGTAGTATGAATGAATAGTAACATCAAGTTTGAACAATTTTGCTTTATCAAATTATTACTTACCTGGATGCAATATTGCTGACTGCATACCTGGATGCATAATGCTTTAAACACACACACATAAAACACACACACACTGTATATCCCTCTAGTGGAAAGAGATTAATATAGCACAATAAAATATAAACACGCAGTAAGTCTGTTCTTTAAGTCTGCTTCATTTTGGGTATTATCTTTTTGCTGTCTGTTCAACTTTGTATATAGAAGCCTATTTATAATATTGGCCAAGCAATGTGTTAATGTATATTACTTGTTTTTTGATGAAATTTTGTATTAATAAAAATTGATAAAGATGCCTTCCAGTTATTTCTTTTGAACAAGATTTGCATTAAATATCTCTAAAATGCTGTGGCAGTTAAATGAAGCTGTAGGCAATTTTGTGTACACAAATCTAGTAAATGCTTTTTCTTTGCCCTGATAGATGTGTGCATAGTGTTCAATGCCAGGTGAAAATTTTCCCGAGAAATAATAGATTATTGACAATATGTATTAAAAGGCATTGTACCCTTGACAGCTTTAATCATTCGTTTGCAATTAGTTGTTGCTTTTCTGTAGAACCAGACTACAGTTCTGATTTGTAGTCAAAGCCTCCATTTAGGAAAGGTCACCTTGCAGGGTAGAAGGCAAAAAAAAACCTAAGAACTATGCTTTACTTCGATTGACTTACCCATTGGGACATTTCAGATCTTTTTATAGGTTAGTAAGCATTATAGTTGACAAATTAGAATGACAGTACAAACATAAATGATAAAAAGTTACACTGTTTTTAAGTCATATAACCTAAAATATGCATCCTTAATTTTATGTCCTTGGGAGGTGTCACTTAAAATTGAAATAAATACAAGTTATAGAAAGATACTGTCATTGGAAAAATAATTAATGATAAAAGCAATTCACATTTTCTTCAACATAAATTATTGAATGCACTGAGTTTTATCTATGGAGGAACATCAATTGAGATGTATAAAGCAGGCCCTAATTAAATGCACTTAAATCTATATCAAAATCATTTTTAAAAATTTGAAACTTGCAAGCAGATTTAAAAAAAAAAGTACAATCATAGCAAAGTAAAGTAGTTTTGGATCTTTAGCTTTGGAAGTCAACTGACCAGAAGAACACCAAATCTAACTCTTAAATAGATTATGGGTAGACCTTATTTAGCAATTGTCTTGTTTAGCAATCACAGTTATGATTGATGAAAAAGTAATTTTATTACCAATTTCCACTAGTCTGTAAAGCAAAGGAAACCAAAAGATCATGAGCACAGTTCAGTTTTGTTACAGTCTGAGTTGCTGTTCCCACTTGGGCACGTTAGCTGAGGACTCCCCATCTGCTCATATAGTCCCACTTTCTGTATGAACAGTAGATGGAAGCCATGGCCTATAGAACCTTCACTTAGTTGTCTCTGGTGTGTCGATTGTGATCATACCTAGAGTAGAAAATACTGAAAACAGTCATTCTGCCTTTGTTGCCTCATTACTATCATGCAACCTAAATGGGAATGCTCTTGAATATTATCAAGAAACTATTGGTGCAAAAGTGGATATTCAGTTAAATTGACATGTATATATTTAAAGCTTTATTTATTTTATTTATTGTAAATTTAACTAGGACAAACCAGTTATTAAATAAGTTTAATATTGTAGGAGATGCATTGGCTATTTATTTCCAGGCACACTTCAAGGCATTTTGTCATCACCTTTAAGGTTACACATGGCCTAGATCCTAGAATTTGACTATCTCTAATATCGGGTAGAAGCTGTCCATCCAAGACATATCTTTGGAGAATATTTAGTAAGGTCCCTGTTCTGTCTGAGATATGAAGTTAGATATGAAGGCACATTTTTTGTTCAGGTGCTTCTATCCTATGGTATGCCTTCCCACCAGAAATAAAAATAGTTCCCTCCATGTATTCCAGAATAATTTTTATATGTGCTTTTGGGCACTGAGGTGAGAATGAAAAATGTATCTGAACTAAGATTAATCTGGCTGTCTGGTATTATGCTATTTGTTTGCTTGTTTCAATCAATTTATATGGTCGCATATTTTTGAATAGTAATTCTGAGTAGAAACACAGAATGAAAACTCACTAAAATAACCAATAATAACAGTAATAAATATATAGTGTCAGCAAAGACCAACAATCACTATAAATAAATATTCAACTCACCAATCCCATTAAATTCTACCATTCTACCATCATCCCAGTGCCAAAGAAGCCCTCCATCAAGGAACTGAATGACTACAGACCAGTTGCTCTAACATCTGTAGTTATGAAAATCTTTGAAAGGCTTGTGACCACCTGAAAACCATCACGGATCCGCTGTTAGATCCCATGCAGTTTGCATACCGAGCAAATAGATCGACAGATGATGCTGTTAACATGCATTACATCCTACAACACCTTGAATCTCCAAATACCTACGCAAGGGTCCTCTTTGTAGACTTCAGTTCAGCATTTAATACCATCAGTGTTTTTCCCTCTAAGCATCTAAATCAGGCTTGTCCACCCCTGATCTAAATATAATATTGACAATAGTGCTTATTCAGTATAGTTCACTGTGGAAGTGAGATGCCTACAACAATTTCCCTTCAAGTTTTTGTTTTAAAATAAGTGTGTTGTATAGTATTCTTTCTCAGCACAAGAACAAATATTGATTAGAAAAATATGTAAAGGCTCTGGGTATCAGAAAATTGTTTGCTGCTGTTTTGCAGGTCTAATCCACTTGAGTACATTTCATTCATTTTAATGAACATTTAAATCAAGCTGATAAATGTAGTTCCCATTTGTTTGTTTAGTAGTTCAAAACCTGAACTGGGAGTTTTGGGTAAGCATGGGACAATTCCATGTTGAATTTCCATATAAAATGGAACATGCTAATTGTTAAGTGTTTATATCAGGGGTGTCCAACCTTTCACCTTCCCTGGGCCACATTAGAAGATGAAAATTTGGTTTGGGCCGCACATAAAATAAAATAACAGTAACAATACCTGATCATCCAAAAAAACCATAGAAAACATAGTTAACATATTAAATTTATTTGGAAATTAAGTTAGTGAGATGTTTTTATTATTTATTATTTATTAAAAATTATTTATTTTTTATCACGGTTTTTTTATCATGGTTTTTTTATCACGGTTTTTTTATCACGGTTTATTTTCCGGCCAAATTTTGCGGGGTAGCGGGAGAAAGCTCGCTCGCCTGCCTCGCGCTTACCTCTCCTCCTGCAAATGGCCCGGCTGGATGAAGCAGGACTGGAAGGCAGAAGCGGCAGCGGGGGCAGCGGCGGCGGGGACATAAGCAGTGGCAGCGGTGGGGGCAGAAGCGGCGGCGGCGGGGGCAGGGGCGGGGGCAGAAGCGGCGGTGGCAGTGGGGGCAGAAGCGGTGACGGGGGCAGCAGCAGCACGGGCAGAAGTGGTGGGGGGGCAGTGGCGGCAGGGGCAGAAGCAGCAGCGGTGGCGGGGGAAGAAGCAGCGGCGGTGGGGGTGGCGCAGGGGCAGAAGCGGCGGCAGTGGTGGGGGCAGAAGTGGCAGCGGGGGCAGAAGTGGCAGCAGCGGCGGGAGCAGAAGCGGCAGCGACAGTGGGGGCAGAAGTGGCAGCAGGGACAGAAGTGGCGGCGGTGGCGGTAACAGCAGGAGGTGGCGCTCTGACGGCGCCCGCCTTTTCTGTTGCTGCTTGGCCTGGCGCTCGCCTTGCCCCGCCTCGCGCCTGCCTCTCCTCCTCCTCGCTGGCTCTGGCACGAAGGTTGGGGTGGGCACTGGGCCGCATTATGAGGCAACCTGGGCCACGGGTTGGACAAGCCTGGTTTATATCAAGCATGTCAATCTTTAATTCTCTAGATGTTGCTTACATTTTGGCTGAAGTAACATCTGGGGGTCAAAAGTTCCTTCTACTTATTTTATGTCATGCAAATGAAATTTGCTACACAGCATGACTTCCATATTCTGTCTTCCTAATATTCATAGCTAACAGAATAGAATTCAATAAAGTTGCATTTCTACCCTGTAGGCTCATATATGAATGTGGGAGAAGTTGGATAGAACTTTCGCAAACTGTATTTAAGGGAAAAGCAGGGCTGACACATAACTGTGTTATTCAAATATATGCATATATAGACCTTATAGAAAAGAGGACACATTACTGTATGCATTTTATCAAAATGCCTGCAGATATATAAAGACTGCTTCCATTTCTCTTGACTCTGTTCTATACAACATCAAGAGTTTCTTCAAATATGGCTGGTAAATTTTCCATTACATTTAAAAACTATTAAGCTGATCAAATCTGACTGTGAAAATGATGCATTTCTGCTTA